CTGGACTGGACAACTGTCTCAAGGGATAACGTACTAAGGGTGCAGTTCTTCCACCCAAACAAGAAAAGCCCTACATTATCTAGAAACTAAGTTCAAAGAGACATGGGAACAAGAAAGAAAGAAATATAGCAAATCCAGGTACACAATGACTAGATATGACTTTTAGGTCATTTCCTTTGGGAGGTGATAAGGGTATTTTTCAGGTAGGGAGGCAAGTAAACTGAACACCTAGTGACCAGATGGTATATTTACTTATGCTTAAATCCCAGAACTAGAACTACCACATGTAAAGGAAAGCAAGCAAATAAACAGCCTTGCATTTTCTCCTAGCGTAGATGTTCACAAGGGAAAAAGGAGTATTAACGTTCAAACTGCAATCCTTTTTTTGATACTGAATGTAACTTTTTAATTACTAAACAACTGTCTTAGTTCACTAGCTTTCTCGTCTTTTTCATCTGTACATACATTGCTTTTGAGGTCTGTCCTTAGAAAATAAAACAAACACACATTTCTATATTAGGGAAGTAAAGACGTAATATTACATAGTGGTTTTTGTACATAAACTTGGGTTAAATTCTGGCTTCACTACTTGTTAGGTTTGCTAGAGCAAATTGCAATATAAGTCTGATTCCTCAACAACAGTCACATATTTGATCCATGTGTCAAATTTTCCGGCAATACAACGAGAAACATAAGGACTCTTGTCACAAAGAATTTAATTTTTAATTTGTAGTATGTGGATAATTTCAGTGAACCCTATTAAGGCACAACCACCACCATGAAAGTCAAATGAGACCATGGAAGAGCTTCAATGAGAGTAAAACACTATACATTAATTCATCCAAACATTTATTGAAATGACAAGCATTTGTGCTAAGCACTAGAGATTAACAGTGAGCAAGGCTTATATGGTCCCTGCCATTATAAAGCTTACAGTCTAGCAGTGATCAATGAACAGTGACAATAAAGTATGCTAAGCATATGGGTGGGAAAGAACAAAAAGTTTAGGAAGTAGATGATTGGGGTACCTAGTCTAGAGGGCATCAAAGAAGACTTCATAGAGGAAGTGACCTATCTGAAAGATGAACAGAAGTATGTGTCTTGTCCTAAGAGCAATGGTGAAAGCCGTGGAATGATATGAACAGATATGTCATTTTGAATATCTAGCTGCAGCATAGAAAGGGATCAAAACAGAGAAATGGAGACTAGAGGGGAAGTTGTTGCTATAATTTAGGTAAGCTAATGGCCCTAGAGAGTTGAGAGAAATTGAGACAGTAGACTAATGGAAAGGTCTTTCTTTGTGACTAGACATAAGGGATGAAGAGGTAAGTCATGGATGACTCAGTTTTTGGCTTGGGCAAGGGCAAGTGAATGAATGTTAGTGTCATCCATTCAAAGAGGGAATATGAGAGGAGGAAAGGTTTGGAGGCAAGAGCAATGATAAACTTGAGGTGCCTGCCGGTGAAGCAGCAAAGAGACTTGTTAAGTTAGCAGTTAGATATATAAATTAGGAAAGCTCTAGAAAAAGAAGTTAATTCAGGAGTCATTGACATACAGCTTGTAACTAAAGCCAAGGAAAGAGATGAGCTCCACTAGGGAGATGCAGAATGAAAAGACAGCGTAAAGCAAAATAAAAAATCCTGAGCATAAATTCATTCCATTTAAAAAAATAAAAAATTTGAAACTACTGAACAGTAGCTTAGTGGTTAGTTGGCAGGCATTCAGTAAATTGCTATTGGAAGGTGGAAGAGGTAATTTATGCAGTGGCAATCCATGTTACAGAGCGGCAATAGTGTCCTTTGAGATAACTCGGAAGGCAAATAAATTATTTACTGAAGAAAAAGATAAAAAAGCCAAACAAGTATTTTGTGGTTGCTATTGGCTACATTTGACAGGATTATATAAGAGATGAACTCAGAAAATAACCGGTCCATTTTCAGGCAAAACTGAAAGTGAACAGAGTTCACAAATAAGGAAACAGGTATTTAAGGGAAAGAGGTGCCTGCAAAGACTGAGAAAGCATATCTGGAGATGGCATCTTCCCAAAGCTAAATTAAGCACGTATTTCAAGGAGGGTGGACAATAGTGTCAAAGGAGGGTAAGAATATTGAAAAGGATTTAGAAATCTTAGTAGTTTGAGTGGACATATGGGAGACTTGGGAATACAGACAAATCATTCAAGAAAGCTAGTTGGGATAGGAGATATAGGGTATTTTTACTCTATCCACAGATAAAACAGGACCAGTAACAACTATTTTATAAAAAAGGACTGCCATGCAGTTACAGAATTACTTAATACAAAAAAGAATAAAACACACACATCTTTTTTTAATGAACAAGACTAGTTTACAGCAAATTTTCTATTGAGGGTCAATTTAAAATCCTTGGATTATCTTCTACCCCCTTCTGTCAGTGACTATATGATACAACCTAATTTTATCATTGCTTTAAGCAAAACATATACTGGCACTTCACAAAACATACAAGACTTCAATATTTGAAGAACTGGGGTTAGAAAGTAGAAGCAGCTTTCAAATCTTTTAATAATTTTTTTCCAGTAACAATGTATTTGCTTTGAAAAAGAATACTCAAAGTTATTGGGAAATTACTGGTAATATTCTGTTTTTGATCTTCTTTTACTATGCTGTTTTTCCAGATATTTAAGCTTACCCTGAGAACCAAAATCTCGACTTTACCATTCTTGGTAATATATAACACTTGTTTTCCTGCCCTAAACGAATTATGTATACTAGCAGAAAGCTTTTTAACATAATTCAGTATTAATTACCGATTTAAAATGCTATTACGAACTTCTGGAGCCTATTTTTATTGAACCCTGTTAGTCAATCTCAGAAAGTCGGAATCACTCTCTCCTATTATGTATACTCAGAAGAAAGGTTGGGCAATCTACTTCCGTAGTGATACCACCTCGGAAACCCAAGGAGGAGTAAACATGAGTCAGGTCTGACTCGACGGCACATAACAACAACATTACGTATACTAATGAGTTCTGGTGGTGTATGGTGAAGGCATTTAGCTGCTAACCAAAAGCTTGGTGGTTTGAGCCCACCAGCTGCTCCATGGAAGAAAGACTATTGTCTGCTTCCATAAAGATTTATAGCCTTGGAAACCCAGTGGGGGTTGCCATGAGTTGGTATAAACTCAATGGCACTGAGTTTGGTTTGTTCTTTTTTTTTTATGAAGTATACTTGCTTTTATAATTTTATTTCTATCAGCAATTTGCCCTGTCCCTTAAAATAAGATAATCTTCATTGGGGCCTACTGGCATTTTGGGAGGGATAATTCTTCATTGTGCCAGGCTGTTCTATGCTGCAAAAGGGGGTCTTCAAGCTTAAATGCCAGCAGAACGCCCCAATAATTTGACAACCTTTGGAAGGAGAGGTTACTGCCTTTGGAAGGAGTAGGTTACACAGAATCACTGACACACCTTTGGCTCCTGGGACATCTATTTTTGAATGCTTAGACACTAGTTGTAGATTCCAAGTTGTATCATGGTACCTTGAATTTGCTTTACTAGTGATCACATAATAAAGTGCTGCCAATAGTGAAGACAGGACTTCAGCACAATAGTTTTCAAATTGTACTGGAGAGGATCTATGAGGGCAAGTTGAGTCCTGTTTCTCAGTCAGTTTTACAGACTGGGCTTAAATTTCCTTTCATGGTTAACATAAGCTTGAAAGCTTGTTTTAGCACAAAGCAGACATCTTACTAGTAATATGGAACTGCTATAATTTGTGAATAAAGCTACTTCTTAGAAGTTAACTTGTGCATTGTCTTAAACACAGAATGTGTGGGACAGTTTCAAATTCAGAATAAATCCATTTCTAGCAGCTGACAAAATCTGGTATTACATCACTTTAAAATAAAGGGTTCCCTTTAAGCAGGATTTCTTTATAAAGCAGTAATACCAATGCAAATAAAATTCAGCCAAAATATCTCACATCTCCTGATCCTGAAGCACAAAAATATTTTTTCCCTATCCTTCTTGACAGAGCTAACCTTCTGTCTAGAGTAGAAAAAAGAACGACAAATTGTCAACCATTAATAGTCTATACTTACCATGGTCCTTAAATAGGCAAGCTGATAAAGTAGCTCCTGATTTTGCAAAATCCAGTGGAATTGGATTAGTCTAAACTCCAAGTTGCATGAGGCCTCTTAAACCAGCAACTTAAAAATAATTCTTGCTCCTCTACTAAAATTTTATTGAATAACTTTCTCTTTTACTAGTAATAACACTGGGGAAGGGGGGATGAAAGGGAAGATGTCAATATTTACTTCAGAGTCAGAAATACAATACTAAAAAAATAGTATCACCCATTTTGATAGACAAAATACCTCCATTGTATGTGAGTTCTTCCTTTCCAGAACCTTTTGAACTTGCTATATGCGTTTCTGAAAATTGGTTTAAACATGTACTTAAGTAGTTGACAATTTCAGACTGATTCTATTAATTCATTAAAATAAGAGCTAAAATGTTTGGCATATATCTTCAGAATATCTTAAAAACAGACTTCTAATTCAACTCACATTATCAGTATTAAACTTCTTTAAAAACAATTATAAAAGCAAAAGACAATGACTGCCATAAAGCTAAATTTTATAAAAGGTGTTCTCATGTTTTAGTCCTGTGCTGCTTGCGGGGGGAACTTTCAGAATGAATCCCCATCAATTGTGATGTCTTGTAATCAACTTGGTGCTTTCTCACAATACAAACTAGTAAAATTGAAAAATCAAACCAATTTTTGCTTTTAGAATTGAATTCTTGAGTTTTTTAATGCTGTACTACAAAGGTTAGGAGCTCTGTAGCATAGTGCCTAAGGCACTTGACTGCTAACCAGAAGGCTGGCGGTTCAGACCCACCAGCCACTCCTCGGAAGGAAGGTTGGGCAATCCTACTTCTGTAGTGATTCTGCCTCGGAAACCCAAGGATGGGTCCCTATGAGTTGGGGCCAACTCGACGTTACATACAACACCTACAAAGATTTATGGATTAGATTCATTTCTTCCTCTCACAAGATCATCCCAATGGGGCTCCATTTCAGTTGTGGCAATTCGAAACAGAGCTTGGAGATGCTCATCTGTCAATGGCTGGCTCAAAGTATGTTGATTTCGAGTCAAATATGAAAAAGCCTTTTCACAGATTTGGTTACTATCAAACAAGGATGCCACCTTACAGGCAACCCCTTTGATAATTGGGTAGGATTCATCAGACAATCCAGCATAGAACTGCCCCAAGTCTTTGATTCTGTATTCATTCCAAAGGTTAGTATTTGACTGAAGTTTTGTTAGCTCCACCCTTACTGAAATAGGTGCATATTCAGATTTAAAGTTAAATGGATTTGAGAAAAGTTCTAAGTCCTTTTTAATGAACCTAAGGTCCTTAAAATGTCTCTCAAATTCCTTTTGTAAGCGACAGATCACCACTTGATACCTGTCAGGATCAAATATTTTTTGATCACCTTTAAGGTGCTGTTTAAGCTCATCAACAACTTCTTTGAAGGAAGTGAAGTGTGTTAAATTTTTTTCCTCTATGTGTCTCTGAAACAAATTTAGCTTAACTTCAAAAGTACAAATATGGTCAAAGGCAGCAGCAGCAAAGACTTTACTAACTCGCAGTTCTTCACTGAGTTCACGAAGGTGGTCCATAATATCGACCAAAAAGCCAAAATCACAAAGCCATTGCTTGTCCGTGAAGTGCACTGTGGTAGCCCCTACTGAAACCAAGAATGTCTCTATCTCTTTTCTTAGGGAAAATATTAGTTTTAAAGTTTTCCCTCTTCTTAGCCAATTGTTCAGACATCGTCCATTAACCCTTTCACCATGCTCCAATTCAGACTCAGTTAGTAAAGCCTGAAACTCGGGTCGCCTAACGCCGCTGGTCTTTATCAAGACTACCCATTGGGATATGGTATTTATGATCTGATTAACATCTACATCGTAGGAGCTCAACAGTTCCAAGTGAAGGAATCCTGAATAATGAATAACATTCCAACAGTTGGGGCTTACAGCCTTTTCTCTCATATAGGAGACTAATCCTGAGTTCTCCCCAATCATCCTCAAAGTATGAGTCGTGGTCAGTCCAACCATTCGCTGCAAGCTAAGCCCTGCTCTCCGTAGGGCCTCTAGGATTGCCGCCATCAAGGCACCAACACTGAAGTGTTGTGTCAGATTGATGACGGTCAGAAGCTCTTCTTGTACCTCTAAGTCGTGGTCCACGCCGCGGATAAACACCAGGAGGTAGTTCTCATAGGCCACAAAAGCTTGGTCGTCCAAGGCAAGTGAATAGGCTTTAAAGTCCCTGGCTCGGTTAAAAAGCTGACTGCGTAGATTCCTGTCAATGCTCAGGATCCTCTGCCCTGTTATTTCTGGAGATAAATCAATGCCCTCCAGGACACCTACGTGCTCTGGCAGTACCTCTCTCAGCATCACCTCTATGCACTGGTGTACAAAGTCCACCTCACCCCAGCCACGACCCTTCAAGGCCAAGAGGCGGGAGATCCCGAGGCCTGCACGAGCAGCTCTCTCCTCCGGAGTGAACGGGGCAGCCACCGGCAAATCGCCCTGACGCAGACGCTCAACCAGGGTCGCGCGCTCGCCCTCTGCCACGTACCGATCATAGTATTCGTGTTCCGCTTCGTAGTGGCGTCTGACGTCGCGTTCGCGGGTGGCTACGATGAGGCGGTGACAGACCAAGCACAGGGCCCCCTTGCCCTCTGGATGCTCCACCACCAAGTAACGTTTGGTCCACTCGGGCCGGAAAACCCGAGACTCGTCGACTTCCATCCTGCTCCTTTTGGGCGTCATCCACATTTTGCTGCAGGCCACAAGAACAAGGCGGTCTCCAGGGAGGCTGCAGAAGGTAGAGCCAAGCACCCACCTCTGCGCCAGAGCACCTCAGCAGGCGGAATACTCACCTCCTGCTAGCGCACTCTGTTCCTACTGGCTACCGATTTCGTAGTCTCTTTAGGAACGAACCAATAGGAAGAGATAGCAGTGATTTCTAGGCGCAAGCGCACATCCTGCAGGCTAGTAGACCGGTCGTTTTAGGGAAGAACAAGGGAACACAAGTACTTAAGAACCTTGACTGAGTTTTAAGCCGTCCAATCAATAGCTCCTTAGCTACTGGGAAGCGCTGCCGCTGAGGGGTGGAGCAAAGCCGCCTAAGCAGAGTGGGTGGAAGGACGTGGGTTAGAAACACTGATATGATTGGCGGAAGGGATTTCCGGTGAGCATCTCAAACGCGATCTGAGCTCCGCTGGTGCTAAAATGTCGCTTGTGGTAGGGGTGATCCGTCGGCTAGACGAGACAGTGGTGAACCGCATCGCGGCGGGTGAAGTTATCCAGCGGCCGGCTAATGCCATCAAGGAGATGATTGAGAACTGGTACGGAGGGGGCCGGGCTGAGCTCCTGTAAAAGCTACGACTTAACGGGCCTCTGCTCAAGACTGTGCGGACACGCCTTCCTGTCCTGGGCAGAGGCTTGTACCGCGCATGCCCACAGCGGCCGCGGAATCCCTGGGCGCGCGCTAAATACGGCCTTCCCAGGGTACCTTGTGTTTCTGGAGCGCTCTTGCAAGGTTCTTCCTAGACTTGTTTGGGGTGCAAGTGCTTAATATTGTTTTAATGGTCCCGTTAAGTGAGGGAATTAATTTAAAACTATACATAGAAGGTGCAAACTGAAAAATATATTAAAAGTTTTAGGTGGCAAAATAATTTCCCTCCTTTTTTCAGAGGATAGTATGAGTTCCTTGTTTATTGTTCCAGAAATCATCAATACACACATCAAGGGTACAATTCATTTTGAATTTTATTTGAACTAGATCGTCTGGGTTTTAGGACAGGCTGATGGACTTTGGTTTCTCTGTTACCAAATTAGTGACCCCCTCTTGGTAGTTTCCTGCCTTTTACATTTTGGGGTTACCTCGAAGAATCTGGTACTTCGAACTGTCACACAAACGATGAAGAGGCAAGAGTTCAAAAACGTGGAAATAAAAGTGGGTGTAGACTGTAAGCTTCAAAAAGATGCCCCATGATATACCTACATATTGTCAGATCATTTGTCTTTAACTCAATTAATGTAAATAAAATCCATAGTTTTAAAACAAAATGTTCCAGCCAAGAATAACAGATATGTAGAGGGATCTATTGTGAAAACATAAATAATCATTCAGGATAATGGGACTTGAAAGAGCTGTGGGGTAAGAGTTGAGCACGGGAAAGGAGAATTAAAAGGTAGACAAAAAGAAGGAGCACAGAACCTGGGAATGTTTTCTCTCGTGGTTGTAAAGACTGGCTCTTCTTTCTACAATGTTAGAATTGACTGACAGAACAAATTGGACCTACTGTTGTACTGTGCCAGAATAGTGTACAACAAAACTAGCCATAATAGCTCTGTGGCTTACAATTTTATAAGCAGAGATTTTATATGAAGTTCATTTATTCGTGGCTTAATATATTAATTGAGATGGCTAATAAAATTGTGATCAGGGACTCCAGAGAAGGGCCTTTAATACTAAGTAATTTATTGTCTTATTTTTGAAGAAAGTATTTTCACTGTGGGTGGTCTACAAGGGCTTTTTCTCATGTAGCCCCAGGCTATATTCATTTCTCTGGCAGGTGTTCTATGCCTATAAACCACTCTTGAAAGGCAGAAAAGATTTATTGGTTCTTAAAGCACTTTCTGCATTGCTGTTTTTCTTTTTCTCTAATTTAAATATACTTTCTAAGAGAAAAAGAAATAGAGAAAAGTATTTAAAATGTTTCTTTTTTAAATGACATCTTATTAGGAACGTAAGGCTGAATAAAATTGAAATAACATGGTAGAACTAGTTGAAAAGAGTACATTTTTTAAGAAAAAGATACGTGCTAAAAGGATCCAGTTTCTAACTTCATTCTTCTAGAGGAACAGAAATAGTGCTGAATGTCTTACTGGACATGATGATTACCCTCTGCTGCCTCCTCCCTTCCCTCTGTCACCTAAACTCGTAACAGTGAGTCCACTGAACAGATACAGTGAAGGAAAACCCTGTTGATCAGACACTCTTGTATTTATCTGTATAGTATTCTTATCTTTTGGCTCATATTAAAATTTGTGCATTAGAGTAGTTGCAGACTGATTATTTCTGTTTGATTTGCCAGTTTAGATGCAAAATCTACAAGTATTCAAGTGATTGTTAAAGAGGGAGGCCTCAAGTTGATTCAGATCCAAGACAATGGCACTGGGATTAGGGTAAGTACAAACCTCAGAAGAGCAGGGTCTTTGTGTGCTTCGTGTGATACATTGGCAGGAAGAAACAAAACCTTCTCCTGTTCTGGAAACTAGACTTTGCAGATGGGATTTTATTTTTTTAACTGAAAAATTCATAAATATTTATTGAGTAATTACTGGACACCATTGCAGGGGATATGGCAGTGAATAGGGAACTCTTGTGGTATAGTGCCCAAGGCATTTGATTGCTAACCAGAGGCTGGCGGTTCAAACCCACCAGCCACTCCTCGGAAGGAAGGTTGGACAGTCTACTTCTGTAGTGATACTGCCTTGGAAACCCAAGGAGGGGTTGATATGAGTCAGATCCAACTCAATGGCAATGGATTTTGTTTGGTTGGCAATGAATAAAATAGATGAAAATCCTTTCTCCTTTAATGTTTATATTCTAGGTGGGGGACAAACAAATTGTTGTTAGGTGCCATTAAGTCAATTTTCAACTAGTAGTGACACCATGTGACAGAGTAGAACTGCTCTGTAGGGTTTTCCATAAAAGAAGCAGAGTACCAAGTCTTTCTCCCATGGAGATGCTGGGTGGGTTCGAACTGCCGACCTTTCAGCTAGTACAGTAAATAGTATGTCAGATACTATTAAGTGTTTTGAAGAAAACAAGCAGGGAGAAGGATAGGGAGTACAGGAGTGGGAAGGGGCACAATTTAAATTGAATGGTTCAAGGAAGGCTTCCATATGGGTGTGATAGTTGAGGACAGACCTGATGGAGGTCAAGGAATGAGTCATGAGGCTGTGTAATGGATGCGTGTTCCAGAGAGAGAGAACAACATATGCAGAGGCCACAGAATGGGAACATGCCTGAGAGATTTTAGGGCCAAGGAAGCCACTGTATCTGAAGCAAAGGAAGAGTAACAGGAGATGAAGCCTGAGAGGTAAGTAGACAGATCTTGTAGGACCTTGTGGAGCCATTATAAAATTGTTCATTTTAAATAGAGGATGGCGTAGTGCCTGAGGCATTTGACTGCTAACCAGAAGGCTGGCGGTTCAGACCCCCCAGCCACTCCTCAAAAGGAAGCCTGGGCATTCTACTTCCACAGAGATACCACCTCAAAAACCCAAGGAGGGGTCGCTGTGAATCAGAATTGACTTGACTGCAGTGAGTTTGGTTTTTGAAAATGAAGTGACAGTTTAATGAGCTTTATAAGAACAACTTTGTGTGCCATGTGGAAAATAGACTGTAGATGGACAGGGCAGACGCAAGGAGGAGGCTCCTTCAGCAATCCAGGAGAGTGGTTGTGGTGCCTTGGATCAGTTTGGCTGCAGTAGGGATGTAAGTAACAGTAGGATTCTGGGTTGATTGTGAAGGTAGAGCTCGAAGAATTTGCTGATGGCGGTATATGAGGGTGCCTTAGTTTCCTAAGGCTCCTGTAACATAAATTCCACAAGATAGTGGCCATTAAAGAACAGAAATTTATTTTCTCAATATTGTGTGGTTGTTGTTATGTGCCATTGAGTCAGACGCAACTCATCGCGACCCCTCGTTGGGTTTCTGAGGCAGTATCACTGTGGCTTCCGAGGAGTGGCTGGTGGGTTTGAACTGCCAGCCTTCTAGTTAGCAGTCAAGTGCCCTTCAAATTAAGGGCACAGGCTCTAGAAGAAAGTGTGCTATCTCAGGTCTCTGAGAGAAGAGCCTTATCTCAGCTTCTGTAGCCCTCGTATTCTTTGGTTCCTTGGCAATCCTCACATGTGCTTTTATAGTATTAGCTTGTGTTTGTGTCTTAGGTTTCATTTATTTATTTATTTTATTTATCCTTTTATCACTCAGAAGTAATGGGATTTAGGGCACAACTTTTACTGATGTTGTTATTCTTGTTACGCACCTTCGAGTCATCTCTGACTCACAGTGACTCACAGTGGCACAGAACAAAACACTGCCTGGTCCTGTGCCAGCCTCATAGCCCCTACTATACCTGAGACCATCACTGCAGCCACCATGTCAGTTTATCTTGTTGAGGGCCTTCCCCTATTTCATTGACCCTCCACTTTACCAAGCATGACATCCTTCTCCAGAGAATGGTCTCTTCTGACAACATGACCAAAGTAGGTGAGACGAAGTCTGGCCATTCTTGCTTCCAAGGAACGTTCTAGCTGCGCTTCTTCTAGGACAGATTTGTTAGTTCTTTTAGCAGTCCATGGTACTTTCAGCATTCTTCGCCAAGACCACAACTCAAAAGCATCAACTCTTCAGTCTTCCTTATTCATTGTCCACTTCTCACTTGCATATGAGGCAGTTGAAAATACCATTGCTTAGATCAGGCACATCTTAGTCTTCAAGGAGATATCTTTGCTCTTCAGCACTTGCAAGAGGTCTTTTGCACCAGATTTGCCCAATGCAATATGTCTTTTGATGTCTTGACTGCTGTCCATTGGTATTGATTATAGAACCAAGTAATAAGAAGTCTTTGACAACTTCAGTCTTTTCTTCATTTATTGTGATGCTGCTTATTAGTTCAGTTATGAGGATTTTTGTTTTCTTTATATTGAGGCATAATCCATACTGCAGAGTATAGTCTTCATCAGTAAGTGCCCCAAGTCATCCTCACTTTCAGCAAGCAAAGTTGTGTTGTCTGCATATCTCAGGTTGTTATTGAGCCTTCCTCCAATCCTGATGCCACGTTCTTCTTCATATAGTCCAGCTTCTTGGATTACACTGATACGGCTTTGTTAATGTAACAGAGAAAACCCTATTTCCAAAAAAGATTACATCCACAGGTATAGAGGTCAGCACTCCAACACCTATTTTGGGGAGATACAGTTCAGTCCATAAAATGGAATGAGAAGGTAAGAATGCTTTTAAGGTTTTGGTCTGAACAAATGGAGAGAATACTAGCCATTTACTGAAACAGGAAAAATAGATTTGGAGAATTGGACATTAAGTTGGGTCCTGTTAAATTCATGATTCATTTTTGCTGGATGTATGTGTGAGACTGGAGATAAAAATTTGGGAGGTGGCTGCATTTTGATGATATTGAAAGCCATGAGACTGGATGAGATCATTCAAGGAGTGACTGTAGATAGAGAAGAGGTCCAGGGATGAAGTTGTGGGGTATGTAATGTTGCAGGTGGGGGAGATGAAGCAGAGCCGCAAAGGACACTGAGAAGGAGCAACCCAGTGAGAAAGGAGGAAGAACAAGACAGTGTCGTATTCTAGATGCTGAGTGAGGAAGTTACTGCTAATTTAAAAATACTTTACTCAAGAAGAATTTCTTCCCAAATTAAATTTTAAAAAAAGAAATCCACAGAGATTTGGGAGAATGAGTAACATAACTATTATTTTTTTTTACCTTCTAGAAAGAAGATCTAGACATTGTGTGTGAGAGGTTCACTACAAGTAAATTGCAGTCCTTTGAGGATTTAGCCAGAATTTCTACATATGGCTTTCGGGGTGAGGTAAGCTGAGCATTAAAGAAGGTGAAATAACCTGCTTGATGATATTGTCTGCTATTTGTCAGCATTTGTTTCTCAACAAGTAAAGAAGAAATGATACATTTTACATGTTAAATATATATGAATCTGAACAAACTGAATTTAATTTTTCCAGACTGAGAATTGTCCCTAAGTACTTAATGCACCATAAACAATGTTATGTACAGAAAACTACAGACATTGTGCGTCTCTTGATGGCCATACATGGCACCACCTACAAAGTTTTCTTGTCAAGAAATCAAATGTGAATCTGATGAACAGTTAAATCTAAGTAGCAGTATGAAAACACAGAGGGCAAGGGAGCATGGTAAACGTTCCTGTAGGGATGTGTCTAGTGAAAAACATTTAGACTGATGCTCCATTAGAAATTAAAAGATTTTATTGAAGGAATAATCGCATTTCATGTAATGGAGTCCCACATGGGATCTTATGAGAAAATGCAGTGTATGTTCTCCCTTGTAAGAGAAACAGTATTGCTAAAGCCAACAAAAGGAATTGGCTTCACATCAGAGAAGTGTAGGGGAAGGGAGGAACATTTACAAGGAGTTGTCAAATCACAAACTGTCTTAACAGTTCCTAGTCAAGCATTAATTCTTTATCTCCTGATACAGCTTTAACTAAATCATTATTTCTAAAGCACACTGTAAATATTTTGATATGGGGAGACTTGTGAAGCTTTTGGAATGGAAAACATTGTTTACCCGGCTCAGGGGAAGTGATGATGGCTTACACAGTTCACTCAGTGATTCAGGGAGCAATTAAGATAGCAGGTTTTCCAAGCACTAAAAAAAATCCTTCATCTAGGGAAAAAATTTTGATTCTTGTGTTTGTTATTTGAATAGTGACACGCTGACAAGGAAAATAGGCTGAATGATTTTCTTTGTTCTTGTTTGGCGCCCTCAGTCAGTTCCAACTCAGAGCAACCTTGTGTGCAACACAACAAAATAGTGCCCGGTTCTGTGCCATCCTCACAATTGTTGTTTTGTTTGAGCCCGTGGTTGCAGCTGCTGTGTCAGTGCATCTCGTTCAGGGTCTTCCCCCTTTTTGTTGACCCTCTACCAAGCATGATATCCTTCTCCAGGGCCTGGTCCTTCCTGATCCTCCTGATCATACGTCCAAAGTACATCAGACAAGATCTCGCCATCCTCATTCTGAGGAGTATCCTGGTTGTACTACTTCTGAGACAGATTTGTTTTTCTGGCAGTTCATGATATATTAAATATTCTTCACCAACACCATGATTCATGTATTCTCTGGTCTTCCTTATTCATTGTCCAGCTTTCATATGCATATGAGGCAATTGGAAATACTATAGCTTGGGTTGGACATACCTTAGTCCTCAAAGTGCCATCTTTGCTTTTTAACACTTTAAAGAAATCTTTCCCAGCAGATTTGCTCAATGTAATACTTAGCTGATTTCTTTTTTTTTTTTTTTTTAATTTTATTTTGATTTGGGTGAAGATTTACAGAGTAAATTCACTTTTCATACACAGTTCACATAATACACTTTGTCTCATGTCATTGACCAAAATTTACAATGCA